ATGTTGTGCATGGGAGACAATGCAGAATAAACACAACACTCAGTAGGAACAATTCTCAGTTGGATTACTCATTAGATGAGTCTAAAGTTACCCTTCAGCAAAGCTTTTCCTAGTTAGCAAAAGGAAATCCACAATTAGTTGCTGTATTTAATAATCTTTTAATGAATTCTCTCTAAATTTATAAATTTGTCTACAAATGACTAATTTTTATGTAGTGAAATAGATGGTCCCAACTCTAAGCAAAATAAACTATGGTTCAGAAAATATGTAATTTTTTTCTCAACTAATGGAAAATATATTAGTTAAAAATAAATATATTAATGCAGACAAATTAAATAGGCCCTAAGTGCTTTGTAGTGCTTCATCACTCCTGTTTTGGAAAACTTCAGCATTTTCATAAACACCTTCAGTCAATTAAATTTATTAATCTTTGCAATCTAATTGGCTGTATTCCTGCTTGTTTCATTAACTGAGTATTATTGTTGTAGAGCTTCATTTAATAAAAGAGGCTGACAAACTGAGCTAAAAAAATAATAAAATATTATTTGCTGGTTTATGTAGGTTTTCTGTTTTAGTCTTAGTTGGGAAAAAAGTTTTCATAGTTTAATTTTCAGGTGCTATTTAAAGAACTTCATCTATAAAAACATTTGTTAAATACTATATAAGATGTCCCCATGAGTACAAAATATTTTATAATATAGGCTATTAAACAATTATGTTGCAGTAACAACACAATCAAACAGAACAAATTGAATTCCGTAGATTTTCTTCCTGGGTCTCCCAGTAAGAACTTAGATCCTTGTAATCTATCTAAAATTATTTAGATCAAGGGTGTCAAACTCAATTTCACTGAGGGCCACATCAGGGGTGTGGTTAATCTGGGGGGGTCTTGGTGAGTGTGGACAACTGGGTGGGTGTGGCTACTTTGACACCACTCCCAAACTGCTGGCATGTTTCCTGTTTGCATTGGGTAGACCGGGCTGAATCCAGGCTGGCCCAATCTTTCCTCTTTGCATTGGGTAGACCAGGACGGCCCCATGGGCCGAATCTGACCACATGGCAAGCCGGACTCGGCCCATGGGCCTTGAGTTTGACACCCCTGATTTAGATTGTTATGGGTGTTATCTCGCCATTTTTACAAGCAAGATGTTTCACAACATTCTCATAATGTAAGGTAGCCAACAGTGAATTGTCTAAGGTAACGTGGGTATGAAATTGCTTAATGACCATTCAAAGTTGTGATAAATCTACCTGGTGGGTACTTACAACCTGGATTCAAAGTTCCAATAGTTCCCCCCTGCCTCCTGCAATCTTATGACTGTTCTTGGGTGCTTGGCAGTCAGGTCACATTTTTGGCTTTTGCAGTGTCACATGACAACATTTTATGATGTTTTTGCAAAAAAAAAACCAACACCTTGGTATTTACTTTGTTCTTTAGCAAAGTTGCCTACATAGAGAACCATTGGTTTGTTTAACCATGGCATTCACTTAATTTGCTTAATGATTATGGTGCTTAATGATTATGGTGATCCACTTAACCATTACTGCAAAATATTGATTAACCCATTTTACAACTATCACAAGTTACAACTCTGATGGGCAGACTCCAGGGAGTATTCTATTAATGCTAGATACCAGGGAGGTGCTCAGAGGATTTTCTGTTCCATCCACCAAAATTGGGTTGCTAGCTTTGGATGATATGCACCCAGTTAAATGGGGCATTATTTGCTGCTTTGCTTCAGACAACAAAATAATCTTAAACCAGTCCTGACATAAACTATCAATGCTTTTGTGACTCATCTTACGTAGCTCAGCTGATACTGCTCTACCCACTTAGCTCCTCATTTGATTAATTCTCCATTTAACAAGTGTTGCCAAGTAAGTAATACATTTAACGCTTGTCTGTATGTTTCATTTGAATTGGCTTTTGGAGTATGGGAGAGGCTGTGAGAATGGATTCTTAAAGCATGTGACATTAGAGTAGCATTGCATTCTCAAACATTGGTTTGCTTTTGTTATAGAGACTAATCAGAAAGAGATAATTTTCCCCAATAAGTTTTTAGAAAATGTAAGGCTTGTTGGGTGAAGATGATGCTTTTAGCCACACTAAGAGAACCACAAGTTTTAGACAGCAGGAATAGCTTGTTAATTTAAGGATTTTTTTATTTGTATGTTTATTTTTCTTTTTAAAAGCATCAATTCTCCTAGTTCATCTTCAGTGCAAAACCACCACTCTTTGCTCTATATGTAAGAATTTAAACTCTTACCAATGAGAAAAACATACCCAAGCCATTAATTTTATTAAAAGTCATAAGCTCTCATGAGTAATACTGTAGGTATAAGTCATAATAGTGTTTGTGCTATAATAAAATAGTCTGGAAAGGCGCTTACAGGGTTTTTCTGATTTATGACAAGAGAAGAATATCCTAAGGATATTGTGGTGATTGCAATCCTATTTTTCATTTTTAAGATGGGGGAGTATGCTGGGGAGAATCTGGGACTTGATTGCCTTCAGGACCATGATGAGTGAAGTTTTATGATTGAGAAGTGTTCCATCCTTCCATTTGGACACATATCTTCTCCAGGATATTGTAAGGTCACTGTAGCCATGGAACTGTGGAATGAATACTGAGACTGCCTAACCTCCAGATGTAATGATATTCTCTGGGAAAGAGTATAAAAAATGCTCTTTAGCCATAGATGAGGCATGTTCCTAGATCAAAAGAGGCATTTGATGCTGGGAAAGCATCAGAAATCACAACACATGATGAAAGAGCATGTTGAACCCAAGTAAGGCAAGAACAAGCTATATGAAAGTAATAATGTGCTCAGGCGATCAGTGTACTTACATGACAGATACTCAGTATCTTTGTTAATGAACCACAATCAGACATTCATTCTAGTAGCAGTGTATTGAATAAGAAGCAACAAACAGTGTAAATTGAAAGTGGCAGAAACTTGCTACAGAACATTTCATCTTTTTGGAACATTACTTAAGCATCTCAGTAAAGGAAAAGAATATGAATGAGAATTTATTTCCAGATTAAAATTTCATCTGAGATTTTAAAAATTAGGGTGTTCTTAATAGAATCAAATTGAATCATAAGGCTGGAAGGGATTTTGGAGGTCTTTTACTCCAACTCCCTGCCCAAGCAGGAGACCTTATACCATCCTGGACAAAATGGTAATCCAAACTTTTCTTTAAAACTTTCAGTCATGGAGCACCCAAACTTTGGGAGGCAAGCTATTCCATTGATTAATTCCCACTGTCAGCAATTTCTCTTTAGTTCCAGATTGGATCTCTCTTTTACAAGCTTCCACCCATTGTTTCTTGTCCTATCCTCAGATGCTTTGGAGAATAGTTGACTTCCTCTTCTCTGTGATAACCCCTCAAGTAGCAGAAGACAGCTATGCCTAACCCTTCTCTTTGTTAGTCTACCTTAGCCATTCATTGTAAAATTTAGCCTCCAAACTCCTTATCATCTTTGTTGTCTTCTCTGCACTCTGCACTCTTTGTAGGTATAATATACAGTATGTTTTTGCAGTGTAAGAGTTGCAGATTACAGGATAGTTTTTTTCTGAAACCAAATTGTTTATTAGAGAGTAGGTTGTTAGTCTCTTCGTGGAGGAGAATGGATTGGTTAATAATTGATTCCATGACTTTACAGGTGACACAGCATAAAGAGATTCATCATCTCTACCTCCTTTCTTCCATTATGAGTAGTGACGAGTCTTTCTGACTTTGTGTCTACTTACAATTGCTGTTGGGACTGGATTCCTGGTTGTAAATTATTATGCTCATAAGTGAAAGCACCCACATGTTCAGAACCAATTTACAACATTTTTGGCACTAGTTTGCAATATTATTGTTTATAAAATGCTTCTTGTGCTGAGATCCCAGAGGTATTTGGGGGCATAATCTGGGTTTGTATCTACTCCATATTCTCAGTATTTTTAAAATCCAAATTAATCTTGACTTTGTGATACCACAAATATCCGTGCCACCAAATCTCAATTTGTGTTCTTCTAACTCCAGAAGCCTCTATTTCTCAACAATACTCACTCTTTCATAAATATCATTCTGGCATGACATTTATTTTTATTACAGAATTTCTCCCAAGAATGACACTTGTAGCTTCATTCATCTTAACATGTCTTTTTATCTTCACTCCATGTCTTATTTTGAAATAACATACAATTCATGTTTGTCATAGTGATACCCAGTTATTTTACCTACTTCTTAATGTTAAAACTTGTTTTATTCATCAGTTCTTTTTTGGATTTTCTATTTTCACATTTTTTGTTTCTAATTTTTTATTTTTATGCAGTATTATATATACTGTATGCCAATAAATAAAACAACAATTAATACCTTGATTATATGAGTAGAGAAAAATTTGTGAATACCTTTATAATAACTTAATTCTTTTTTATGACTTTTAGTCAACCAGATTCCATCTGTTTCTATATTATCTCCACCTAAAAATTCTTCAGCAATATTTCTGAAACAGCTCATGATGTCACTAATACATTCTTATTATCCAGGATGATATAGTATGTTAATTCCAAGTCTTCTGCTTTCTAGTCATAAATGTTTAGTTAAAGAAAATAGGAAATAACATTTCAATTAGTCGATCATTTCATGCCATAGCAAATTTTAAACCATTTAAAATAATCATAGATTACATATTACATTTAAAAAATCTGCACTGTCTCAATTTAAAACATTATTAGTATTAATGAGTAGCATTAAATAACCCTCTGAAGAGGTAGATTCTTGTAATCTTTTTCTATTGCTGATAATAATCCAGTCATCATAAGCAGAATATATCAATGTACTGGCCCAAGAGCAACCTTTGTTAAAGCAAAAAGAAATTTCTCCTGTTTCTTCCTCCCATTTTTAATGTATGGGTTTAAGTTGTGGGGATAGAACTAAGCATTGTACATGCCATTTAGCATACTGCTGCTTATAAATGATGGCGCCTGTCTTTATTTTACAGCTGCAGAAGGGATGATATGCAGCTATTTATGCTCAAAAAATGGATGTTGGGGGCCAGGGCCAGATCAGTGTTTATCCTGTAAACACTTCATCAGAGGAAAAACCTGTGTAAAGTCTTGTCACCTTTTTGAAGGGTAAGTCATTTTTGCCTTTAGGCTTTATGTGTGTGTTTATATAAATATGTTCATACTTTTGAAATTACTAATTTTTATGCTTTGGTGATAGAAGAAGCCATCTGTCATGCAGCAACTGGTAATCATAACTTGTGCTAGGCAGCAGCATCTTTTATGGGAGAATCATGAAAAATAATCTAGCTAAGATATTTCAATAGCCAAGTATTGCAAATCGTATACAATTGTAACTGGGCTAGAGCATTGACTGCAGGGGATGGGTAAGCTTGGCTACAAGGCAGAACAATTCATAATTCTTTTGAAAGTCACCAAGCTGGAACAAGGAAAAGGTTTGCCCGTACTTGTGTTTTAAATGGAAGGTTGAAAAGCAGCTGTATAAAAGAAGTTGACTGGTACTTTAGATGGGAAATGTTGTGCAACAGATTGCAGAAGTTTGATATCTGTCAAAAGGAAGTCCCAAGGAACTAGTGAGGTTATCTGGTACAGTTCCTGAATTCATATTCCCTTGTCTGGAGTGGAGTGGAAAGATGAAACACACTGCCTCAAATCATTTAAATGAAGCCGTACACAATTTTGGTAACAAGACTAGACTGGGGGCTAGACAGCAGGGAATAGTTAATTGTGAGAAATAGTTTGGGTCTGAGATTTCAATGTCAACAATATACAATTCCATCACTGTCCAAGGAGACTGTCAGGATCATGACTAATTGTCTGAAGATAAAAATGAATTGAAAAAGATCTAATGAAATGAAACTGAATTCTGACCTGACAAAAGTATTTTTGATCAGTAGAGTTGATCTCATTTTTGGAATTCAACTTCAGTTGAGTTGGGTAGCACTTCTTTGAAAATACTATTTTGTAGATTTTTCTTATTCCCTGTCCTTGAATTTTTAGCTGTTGTTGGTAGCCAAGATGAGGCTAATTAACCAATGATGTCTTTTAGGAATGTTGATCTGGTGTATTTTATTCCAACTGGATCATTGCACTGCACTCTACGCAGGACTGCCTTTGAAGAATATATGGAAGTTAAAATTGGGCCAGAATATCACAGCTCATTTGTCAATAATAATTAAATATTAATAGCTTTCAATTTCTTTCCAATAGAATTCCAACTGCTCTTAGTGGTGTCTGAGTTTAAGACTAGCTTATGAGAAAACTTCCTCATGTCATTTACTGAGGTCAACTCCAGGGCCCTCGAGTCTGAAAGCCTTTTTAATATTTGCATTTAGGTACAGAAATTCTCTTTTCTTCTATCCATGTCACTTCCTCAGTGATGTCTTATAGATATTGATAAGAATCTGCCTGAAACTGTTCTTTATCACTGTCTGATTTTACAATTTCTTATTCTTCCTGATGTACATGCATCTGAATATGTTTTTAGGGATGTGACAATGCTGTACTTAACCACTATTTTGGTGTAAGGGGTAGAAAAGAGTGTCTCTATCCAAAAGATATACAAAAGAGAACTAAATTAGTATCTGGGAATGAAAACCACTTTCCTTGGTTTTCTTTTCAAAGATCTGCAGTAAAAACCTTTCTGCAGAATTTTACTAATTTAATTGTAGCTGCATCCCTTTGAATTTAGAAGAACAGCTCTGTCAAAAAAAATCAAAACCAATTATTTCAGAATAGAATTCCAAACAGTCTTAATTTATTGCTTCATAATTGTCCTCCTTGGTTTTTCCTTTCTACTTCTGGCTCACCATAAGCCAGGCACTTTTATTTGCACTATGGTGGCCATTTTCAAGAGATAGGATAGGTGAATGAAAGCCATGTATTCTTATCACAATTCTTAAAAACTCTAAAGTGGCATTCCTTTCTGTCTTTCCCGATCTGAAGGATATGGAGTGCTTACCTTTAACAATATGATAGTATCTGTATATTGCAAAAGCCTACAGAATAGAGATATTATCATCTGGTGCCAGTCAGCCAAAAGGAAGCTCTCAGTTGTATTTAAGAGTAAGGAAAAAATGCACATTTCTCCTTAACAGCTACAAAGCAAAGAGACTGCTGATAGGGACATTATAGGTGACAAACAATGTGAAATCAGAAAGACCTGCTCTATGGACAAAGCCTGTAGTGCTATGGTTCCTGGGAGAAGCAAGAAAGCAAAAGAGGGTAACCCCACTTTTTCTGTTCTGAGGGCAGAAGAGCCACAAATCGAGAGTAATCTGTATAACCTAAAGCTGATACAAACAGTAATTCTACCAATTGGGAAGCAGGTCAGAGCCCTTTCACTATGTCCTTGCTATTCTTGGATTATTTTACCTCATCTTCATCCTGGAAGAAACATACTGGAAAGAATATTCAAAAGTGAGGATTCTCACAGCAATGTGAGAATAGCCTTAGGTTTGGAAAATGCCATGACTAAAGTGAGGCAGTAGCCATTAGATATAGACCACCAAAAAGACTTTGGTGTAATCCTTATGGTCTTTTTTTAAAAATCTAGCAGAGAGATCTTACAACCCCTTATTTAATGTCTGTAGATGACATGAAAGTTCATTTTAGAGACATCTAGCTCTTGATTACTATGTTTCTCCTTTTATATGTATTTCCATTTGGCCCTAACAATACCCTTTCTAATCAGATGTAATAATAATAGTAAAATAAATAATTATTATCATCAATCCTCAATTAATATACTGAAGTTTGCTAAATTTTGTTCTACTGTCATCTCCATATGTGCTCAAATGTCAAACATGTTAGTAATAATTTTAGTAATGTAATTTTTAATTCTTTGCCAATATTAGGATATTAATGAATGATACTTTTCAATCCCTGTTTTATTGAATTTTAATCTTAGATAAGTTGGTCTATGACTCTTTTTATAAACTAATCTATACTAGATGGTGTCCCCACAGTAACAAGTTACCTGTGTTGGGATGGAAAGGCACAGACGCACAGATACTTCCTGTTCTTTCCACAATGTTAGATTTTTCAGGCCAAGAAAATATCAGGCTATGATATTAGGCCCCTGTTTAGAATTGATTATAGTTCCCATCTCACCAGCAGACTCAGTGGGATAAGTAGAAGAACTTTAGCATCTCAATAGTATGATTCTTTTCATCTAATTGTCTTTAACAACTAGGTGGCTAATAGACCACTCCGGCTTTGAATGCTGAGTCAGTAGGTTATATGCATGTCTGGTGTTCTGTACAACCTCTGCAATTATTCCCAGGATGAAAGACCAGGAAATGAACATCCAAGGGCTGTTCCCACTAATAACACCCCTTTAACAGTGATAACCATTTTAGCTTCCAATTATATGATTTATATAACTTCAGTTTCCCCATTATTTCTGTGCAAGCAGCATTTTTAGATGATTTTTTTCTTTCTTTCTTTCACAAAGGAGTAATTTGTTAGAGGTCTTTCAAATGTACCAAGGAAGTAATCAAAGATAGAGGAAATCCTAGTGGTTGAAATTAGATCAGATATGTATAAAATAAGTCCCTTTATTTCAATAGATGTGTTTTTTCATCTCTAGCATGTTTATTTATTTATTATTTAAAACACTGTTATAGCTTCCCATTTTATATCAAATTCTGGGCAGGTCCCAATCAAAAAGAGCACACTGCATGGTTTGTATAAATAATATGGAATATTTTAGTATCCTTGTCTTTACAAACAGTGAATAAAACCTAGCAGTGCAGCATTTGAATATTAATCCAGGTTGGGGATGGGGATGTAATTAGAAAATTATCAAAGAGAAGGTGTAGTTGGGGGTGGGGGATAGGCACTATTGCTTGCAGAATAACAATTATATCAGAAACTGAAGTTGCTCCCTGATTCTGTCACTTCTGGTATTTCTAAATTGCTTGTTATTTCCCCAGAGAATACAGAGAGTTTGCAAATGGTTCAGTTTGTGTGGAATGTGATCCGCAGTGTGAGAAGATGGATGGAAACAGAATAACTTGTAGCGGGGCTGTAAGTACAATCCATATACAATCCAACATATAAGCTGGTTATTATATGAAACAGATTTGGTGTTTTTTTCTTTGATCCTTTCTTTCTTTATAAATTTATAAATTTTACTTATTTTCTAGGTTTATATCCATGCCTTTCTTCCATGAACTCAAGACAATGTACAATGCACTCTTTCCTGTTAATTTTCCTTACAATTACAAACTTCTGCATTAGATTAGGCTAAGAGTATAGGACTCTCCCAAAATCAACACCTAAACATATTGTGCTCAGGATGGATTTGAACCTGGGTGTCTCTGGTTCTAGTTCTAATCTTAGTGGAAACACTGTGCTGAAGCTTTGCATGTTCCCATGAAAGTTTTGCATGGGCTGAAAAGAAATACAGATAAAATCTAATAAAGTATAATTGTGATCTGCCTTTGTGAAAAGTCCCAATGTAAGTCTTATGGCAATGTGAGTATTGCATCCTGTGTCAAATATTACACTTACTTGATGTCTCTTAGTAGCTCTTGGGATCTCCAAATTGAAACAGAAATTTGATATTCTGTGTTTCTTCTTTCTTCGTAGGGACCAGATCATTGTACCAAATGCTTTCATTTTAAAGATGGCCCCAATTGTGTTGAAAAATGTCCTGATGGTGTACAAGGAACAAACAGCTTCATATTTAAGTATGCGGATGAGGATCGTGAATGTCATTCTTGTCACCCAAATTGTACCCAAGGGTAAGCTTACATTTACATATGTTAAAACATTATTGCTACATGTGATACTTTCAATCCATTTTATTGTACCACTTAATCCTGATGAATAAAGTGATTTGTCTAGAACATTACATTTTTATCCCCAAGCCTTTCAGTGGATGACCCGAGGCGTGGCACAAAGGCAACACAGTCAGATAATCAGTAGGAGTTCCTTTATTAGCTCCAACTTTGCACCCAATGTCCTGATTACCTTCTGGCTGGAGAAAAACTATCCCAGGAACAGCCTGTGGCTGCAGAGAATCAAGTCCAAAATGTTGTCAACAAAATCTGTAACTATAAGTCCAATCAGGGCAAGATGAGGTAATTAGTCCGGCAGGGCAGGATATCGAATTCCAGACATGAAGGAACGGCAGTAAATCAACCTGGTTGGGAGAATTCCAGGAACACAGATAACCAAAGTCAACACAAGATAAACTTATGCTTGTTCCCAGCAGACACCTCACTCAGCATGCATCCCTTTTAAACTCTCATTCCTAGGTGTGGTTAATGAAGGGAATCAGGGACCTTTCCTCCCCCGTAAGCCATGCAACCCACGTTGCTTTCTTCTCCATTCCTCCCTGCGTGCCCTAGGATGAAGAGGGGGTGGGCCTGGGTCTTCCTCTGAAGTCCCTCTCCCTTGTTCTATCTCTCCCCTGCTCTGCCCTGCTCTGCCCAGCTGGACTTTGCCCTTCCCCAGTTTTCTCCACAGCGAACGGAGTCACACTCCCACTCCCTGACAGCTGCTCGTCTTCCTTCTCGGATTCAGACTCTGACAGGGACATGACATTCGATATGTCTCTATGGATGGCAAAACTAAGATGATGATAAATCAGTGTCAAAATCAATTTATTGTAATATTTTCTTGGAGCCTGAGTTACCACACCCTTTACAGTCTCTTTTCTTGCTTTTGCTGGAATGGGCGAAATGGGCAATAAAGATAATCTGCACTAAAAGAGCAAAACTTTGCTTCAGTATGTGTTTGCCTCAGCATATTAAGAATGCAGTCCTCCCCTTAACCGTCTCTCCTCCTTTTGTGTTCAGCTGGGAGATATGAAAGTGAGTAGATCTGCCTTCCCTAGAATGATAGTGCTATTTTCCAAATGACTATGAAGAAGACTGTTAGATTACATTAACAATTGCATTCATGTACAGAAGTATAGTTAAATGTATAGAGAATAAGTATAGTGAGAATGTGCTGCCTGGCTTTTTAACTGAACTTCAGGTGTCTTGCATTTGAAGGGGAAGGTCACAGTTAATCTTTTATCTCTGTACCTGCATAATGTATGTATAAATGATGACAACTTTTGAATACAGGATTTTAAACAGAAAAATGGACTGAATCTCTGTTTTTCCTTATGTTATTTTAAAATGCAATGCAATGCAAACCTGGCCTAATTCAGAGTGACACCAAAGGATGGCACATGCACACCTTCTTTTCCATCCTATTTCCCTTTCTATTGCGAAACCTCAAGATTTGCAGGGTGGGTTAGTGTTAACAGGGAGAGAAAATTGCCCCCTCTTTTGGCAAAACCTTTTAATTAAATTTCACACATCAGCTATGATATATAAATAAGAAATTTATCAGTAAAATAGAAGCTTAAAGTTGGAAGGAATCATTAAAATCATTTCTAGTAATCCAATTATCTTTGTTGTCCTTCTCTGAATTGGCTTAAGAATAATTTCTATGAATTTTTCTTACAGTGTGATGCCAGACCTGGATATGATATTAAAGATGTGGTCTGATAAAAGCATAATAGAGTGGAATGATTTCCCATGAATTGAAAATTATATTTCAGTTAATGCAGACTAAAATAAATCTGTCTTTTTTGCAACCACTTCATACTTCCGGCTCTTATTAAATGCAATCAAGTACTTTTAATTTAAAAATGGAAGATCTTTTTAACATTTAGTGCTACCAAGTATTCCTAAACCAATATTTGTGCATTTGATTTTTATTTCATAAGTGAAAAAAATTGTACTTATCCCTAATAAATTTAATTCTATTACTGCAATTTTCCAATCTAGCATCCATGAGTTTTAATTACCTACTGATCTGATAAGCATTCCCTCTACCTTTTCATCCAAATAATTAATAAAAATATTGAACTTTAGATGATCCAGAACTGATTGTTGTGGCACCTCATTCAGTCACTCTTTCCAAATTGATGATTAATTATCAATGAACATTCCAAGAATATAAATTTCAGTCCATCTTTTAATCCACTTAGTTGTGATGTCATCCAATGCACAGTGAATGATAAGCATGTCTCAGATTACTTTGTTAGATATTTTGCTGAAATATCCTAAAGGGCCCCAGTCTCAATGCTGCCAGGGGCAAGTTAAAATCTCCAAGAAATATAAACTTGGGAACAGCAGGAGTAGCAGCCCCACTTCACAAATTTATGCAGACCTCATTTAATTATTAAACGGTGTTCAAAATGCTTCTATACTGGTCTTGTTATTATCTATTCCAGAATCTTCCAAAGCCTGGATGTCATACTGACTGGGTCTGAAGTTTGCTGAATCTTTGTTTGTCATTTTTTGAAGATAGGAGCGTTTGCTCCAGTCATCCAACAATTTGTCAGTTCTCCAGAATTATTTGGGAAAGTATACATGAGTATGGTCATACCATCAACCAGTTTGTTTCAGTATTTTAGGATGCAATCCATCTGGACCTAAACTAATTGAAAATAAAGATAGGGTATCCAGCTATGGTTGAAAATCTCAAGATTTAATTCTCTCCTTTCACTGTGTTCTCTGCAGAAGTTTGTTAAACAAGGTTGAAATAAAATAATAAATGAATATAAAATATCTGCCTTTTTTGTGATATCCAATGTATTAGCATTTTTGCCATTTTCATTGAGCAGCTGTTATACCTATCTTTATGTTTCCCTTTTCTTTTGAACATATCCCCCCATAAGCCCCTTTCTTGCCATTAGCATCCTGACACCAGTGCTGCAGTGTCAGATGATCTGTCTGTGGTCTTCCTTCACAGCCTGGCACTTTTTCCTGTTTGCTATATATGGTTTTCAGATCTTCACTAAGCTTTTTATTTAGCCACACTGGTTTTGCTTCTCTTTTTTCCCCCTGTACATAAGAATTATTTTCAATTCTGCTTTTAATATGTTTTCAAAAGTTTGAACTTTGTTTAAGAATTCTCCTTAATCCTCTTCTTTTTAGCTTCTCCTACCATGATATCCTACTCATGTTGTTCTGTGTTTTTTAAGCCTCACATTTTATAAAGTTGAAGATATGTTTGAATATCTTCAGTTTTACAATAGTTTCTCTTAATGAGAAGAACTCAGGTATTATGTCACCTTTGCCCAGTCTTCCTCCTACTTCCACATCCTCAGCTAATTCTAATTCCTAGAGTTAGTGAATTTGAGTTAGTGTTGGTTATAATATCTTTATAAAGGCAATGAAACATCTATACTTATATTGTTTTTCCCTTCTTCAACAAAGCACCATATTAATTGAATAAAGTGTCACCAAAATAAAATAGCATTATATCTGGCAACCAACATAATCTGCAAAGGTTTTGCTTTTAGGCATCTGTGATTACATTTCCGCTTCACTTCTTATGACACATGACTTGTGTTTACTACTACTCTCCTAAATCTATTAAAATGGCTCTTGTTTGCTATGAATGCCCCTTGTGTGGAAGTATTCCCAATGCTTCTTATGATGAAAGTTGGCGCAGATACAGGATCTCATTTGTATTTATGTAAGATCCTTCTCCTTGTTTCTGATTACCATATTTTGGCATTAATGTTCACACAGCAGATGTCATGAAACACCATTTAAAACAAAGTACCCTTTTCCAGAAGACTTCAATGGAATACATTTCAAAGGATAATGCTGATGCTTGAAGAACCAAGCTCTTTTGTAAGAGTACTTTCTGAATGAATCATTGCTTAAAAACCTACTAGATTTGCTGAATTTGATCCAGGTATCAGCCAAATGTGTTGATTAGAAAATGCTGCTCAAATAATTCAATCAGTATTAGTCACACTTGGAAGTGTAAACCAGAATATTTGTAAAACAGTACTGAAAGTAACCTGCAAATTGTAACTATTGTGAATTCTTTTTCAAAGTATAGGCTAAGAAAGCTAGATGGGATTGCAATTCATGGAAGCTTTTCTTCTTTGTAAATACTTGTGAACTTTGTGCACTTTTTTCTTAGTTGGGAATCCTCCTTTCTTTAAACCTTATAGACTAAACAAAAATAAAAAGTGAATAAAGAACACCAATAACTTGATTTTTATTTTACCATACCTCCATATACTTCTCAACCAGCAGAGCCTGTTTTGCCATGGTGCATATGACATATGATAACATATTTTTCAAATCCAACTTGATTCCTGGTGATTTCATAGAGCGCTTGTGCTGTTATCTTGGCAACAGTACAGAGTATATAGAGAAGAGCATTTTCAAATCCAAAGATGAATTTTTTTCACTAGAGTAAGTGAAACTTGGCATGCCATCAACTGAAGTTGTATGACTTCACCATCGTGCCTCCCGTCCCTGTCCTATTGTCCCCATTTAATCATACCTATTTTCTGTATTCTTACTCATGTTTATACTTATACCTATTATTTTGTAAGCAATTGACAAATCAAATAAATAAATAAATAAATTACATAAAATAAATAAATAAAATTTAATATAGACCACTCGAGATTTTGCAATGAGACTGTTGGACAATCTCTAACAAAAATCAAGAGACAACCAACACATTAATTTTGTAAAATAATAATTCACAAGAGGCTTTCATTGTTTTGCTGCTAAAATTAAAGCAGTAAATAATTCAATAAAATGTTGATGTCAACAGATGTTGCCCCTCAAAATGAGACCTTTTGCTGGTTTTGCAGCTCTAATTACAACGGAGCTTTTAGGGAAATTAAACTAAGAATGCAAAGATATCCAAGAATTTGTGATAGAGGTAACTTCTATTTGGCTCTTTAAAATCTGGGTTATACAGT